CTTCCGACATTCGACCCGCCTGCACACCGGCTTCCACGTTGTCTGCCCCCGGCCCTGCTCCTCACAGTTCGGGCATATGAACTTGTCCACGAGATCCTCGTCGGCCTGGTTCATGTTGACGCAGCTGCCATGGAACCAGTCTTCGCACCCTCCATCGCATCCGATCATCCATTTGTGGTTGTCCGGTTTCCTACAAATGCAGTAGAGGGTATTATCGTCTGATGAATCCGCTTCGTCGTCGGACGGATGTACCTGCGAGGAGTAGTCGGGTGCGGGAGACGACTCGGCCGCTGGCGTGCCAGCCTGCGAGCCCTTCTTCCCGCCCTTGCTCGTCTTAATGGAGCGCGATGTGGGTGTTACGGAGCGGGCGTGTACATCGCTTTCGGGATCGAGTTTGCGCTTCTTGGACGCAGGCTTCTTCGCCGTGGCAGTTCCTTTCTTTTTGATTGCAGGTGCCGACGAGGGTGCAGGCCTTTTTTTCGACGGCGCAGGCTTCGGCTCGACCGGGGAAGTGACACTCTCAGCAGTGCTGGCGGTTCTCTTCGCACGCAGTCCCAAATCGCTTTGCTTTGCAATCTCAATTGCCTTGAGCGTGTCGGCGTCTACATTGTCAGCTGTAATGGAGCGATTTCGTTCGAATGTCTGCGCCGTGGCTGTCGAAGGAGTCGCCTCGCGTGGCGTGCCAATAGACTCGTTCTTGACGACGGGTAGCGGCGAGGGCAGGTCCGTCGAAATGGGATGCGGCGTGGTGTTTGTGGACTCCACGGGCTCAGGCGCGATGATCTGCGATGTTGTTGGCTGGTCGCGTACGAACGCGGGCTCGCGGTTCTGCGTTTCGTCGCGACCCGAGTCCTCGACAGATGGCGCCGCCACCATCTGCGACACGTCCGTGCCGAGGGCAGTCGGCTCGTCGAGCACTTGGTCCTGCAGGTTATTCGAGAGATTTTGGATGGGTGCTAGCACAGGCGCGGGAGACGACCGGGTTAGCAATGACTGCCGTCGCTGCTCCTCGGGCGACTTCGAGCCGTGATGGTAGTGCTCGAGTGTGGGCGAATGCGGTTGCGGCTCGAGAGGCGGCTCCGGCTCGACGGGCGCGACGGGCGCGACGACGGAGCCAATGCTGCTGTTGCCGCGGGGATGATGCGCAGACGCTGTGGGCGAGGGCAGCTCGCGCGTGGGCGCATACTGCTGGCCGCTGCCCAGCGTCGCGAGTGTGGTGAGGGCGTCGGCGGCTTCGTACGTGGTGGGCGCGACGTAATTCTGGGCAGCGCGCGGCGGCTGGCCCATCGCAGGCTCGTGGTTGAGGAGCGAGTTGATGCTGCTCATGGTCACGGTGGGAGTCTACGAGCGAGGATGGGGGAGTGCGATAGTCATGGCGTGTGTGAGCTAGTGGCGCGAAGAATGAAAAGGTGGAGAGCAAAAAGCTGGCGGCCCTCTATGGTTTGGAAAATAGAGTCGCCATCATTGCAAGCTGAGGCCACGCGCCAAGCGGGAGGGGCCCACTGACGGCACAACCTAGCTTTTGCCCTCACCACCAACATCAGCTGCGGGTGCCCCGTCGGCTGACAAACATGCGGCTGCAGAATTTGACGTATACACGTTATTCGCCGTCACGGTCGCCGCCACTTCACTGGATGCATTCACTCATATGTCGCGTGGTCCCCGTCCGCCCTCAGTCGTCCTCCGAGCCACGCCGCCGCGGTCGCCCCGGCCAGCGCACCGCGTCTTGTCCTGCCGCTGCAGCTTCACCATTGGGCGTCGCGACTTCGCCCTCTTCCAGCCCGAGACTCCGCGAGAGACGCTGCTCGAGGTCCTCGACACCCGGGCCATATACCGTCCTCACGAACGCAGCCACGCTCTGTTTGTCCACCTCCACCTTCCCACGCGGCCCTACCATGTAGTCGACCATCTCCTCCCCGCTCGAGTTGTCCTTCACTTTTATGATATATCCGTCCTTGATTATGCGCGCAAGTAGCTTCTCCTTTGTGTCGACCGGCGTCGACTGCTCTGCATTCATGCGGCGCAGGTACCTGTCTAGCTTCGACTCGGCGAGCTGGCCGCCAGAAAGCAGGATGAGGGAGATGATCATTGTGTAGAGACCGACATATGCGCCATCGTCGTCGAGAACGCCTTCGGGCGGGTCTGGTCCGGGACCGATAACGTCGGCCATGCGATACTGCTCGGGAAGAATGTTTCGCAGCACCCACATCCCGCTGCTTTTGGACTGCGCATCAGAGCTAGCGGCAGCTATTGAACGTTAGACGAGCCGAGCAGGAGCACAGAAGACATACCGCGCTTCTGGCGAATCGTGACCTTTTCCTTGTTCGGAAGTTCCACCATTTGCATGCCAAAGACGTCCATGAGCTGTGAATTGGCGGCTTCAAAGACGGCCTTGAACATCCGCGCATGTGTACCAAGAACTAGATCTCTCAGCTACGTCGTGGAAACAATTGGTGGCGCAGGTACCTTTCTGGCCGACATCCGGTCGCTTGATTGGTATTCGTTTGTATTCGCAGGCAAGTGCATAGCGGACTAGATTCTTCGATAATTGTGCGATGCTGCCACTGCCATGATCTGTCTCTGCCTCTTCCTCTTCCTCCTTGTCGAGCTCATCCTCCTCCTCGGGAGGCTCCTCGAGCCACCGATTCCGTCTTGACTGTGTCAGCGTGGGTGTGGAAGCGTCATCATCCGTGGGCTGTAACAGTCAGTCATGTCCATAGGAAAGATGCAGGCCACTTACCGCGCGTCTTTTTCGTGAGGCTGGTGGCATGGTGTCGATGGTTTGATCCTGTGAATCTCGTGTGGGGTCGTTCTAGCGTTGGACTGGGAGACGCGCACGACGCGCCTGTGATTCGGGACTCAAGGCTTGGCAACGACATCATCCCGTTCAGCGAACGAGCTCTAAGACATTCACCCTCCGGCGCCTCATCTATCAACCGAGGCATTACTTCCTCAGTCCGGACGACAACATGACGCCCGCACGCCTCGCCGCCCGTCGACACATCTTCCGCTGTCTCCACGCCCCGACGCCCCGACCGCAGCTGCGACATCTCACAAACGAAAGCTCTCCCAAGACACGGCTCGAGCAAGAAGCTCTGAACTACACCCGCGCCAGAGAGCGAGCGGTAGCAGCAGACCTCCACAATGTCTCCCTCCACCGCGCCGAGGCAATTCGACGAGCAAAGCTCATCCGCCGCCGGAACTGGCTGGCGCTGGGCGCGGCCCTCTCTATGATCGCGCCTATGATCTTGGTGAAGATGTGGGACCTGCCGCCACCTGAGGACAAGGAGAAACAGGAGACCAATGAGCCGAAGAATCGGGGTGTCATAGACATGATCAAGCCCAAGCCAACGCAAACAGACTCGCCCCGCGCGGCAATCGACGGCTTCCAGGGCAAGAAGGTGGTAATTGCTGCGGGCGACAAGATAATCGCCGCTCCTGCCTCATCCGAAAATCCCACCGCATCAGATGTTGACACCATCGAGCTTGTTCCCACGGGTACATCCTACGTTCCCTACTTTCCCAAGACTATCAATCTACCCACATCGACCGGCCCTGAGGCCGTGGAAAGCGAGGCCGAGTACACATTGCTTGGGCTCGGCATCCGCAAAGTGTCCTTTTTGCGCGTTCAGGTCTATGTCGTAGGGCTCTACGTGCGCACATCATCACTCCACAGCCTCCAGAATCAGCTCATCAACACTGTGAATCCTACCGCATCTGCTCTGATCCCCGGCGAGAAGGACGAGCTCCGCAAGGCGCTCCTAGACCCTGAGAAGAGCACCCAGGTATGGGAGTCGATTTTGAGCAGGACCGGGTCTGATGCTGTCGATATGGCGTTCCGCGTTGTGCCGGTCCGCGGAACGGATTTCAAACATTTGCAGGACGGGTGGATGCGGGGCATTGCTTCTCGCACTGACGAGGTCAGGCGGAAACAGGCAGACCTGGTCAGGCAACAAGCCGCCGAGAAAAAGCAGATTTCCCTACCGAAGCCCGTAGAAGAGGGCGAGTTCTCTGACGAATCCTTTGGTCTTGCGATGAAGGACTTTAAGGGTCTATTCCAGGGCCGCGGGAAAGCGCCAAAGGGCAGTGTCATTATCTTAACGAGATCCAAAGAGGGTACGCTAAATGCCATGTACCAGGGCGTCGTCAAGACAAACAAAGGTGAGAAGATGGGCGAGTTTGCAAAATTGGGTGAGGTCAAGGACGAGCGGGTGAGTCGGCTCGTATGGCTGCTGTACCTTGGCGGACAGAATGTAAGCTCCGAAGACGCGAGGAAGAACATCGTGGATGGCTGTATAGGCATTGTCGAGCGGCCTGTGGGTACAGTGGAGGGCATGGTTCAGTAGGTGCGTCGGACGCCCTGCATACTCCATAGTTCTTCCTTAACTACGCCTACTGATAACTCCCGATGGACTGCTCTCATGCTAGATCGCCATCGTGGGGATGATGCGAAGGCGCTTGTATCATCTACATGTACAGTCACTTGGTCAATGATCGCGTCCCCGCTGCGAAAAGTATAATTACGTGCCGCCTTTTCTCCATCTGATTGAACAGTGGCCCCTCCAAGGCGATGAAAGCTCCATAACATGGGTCAAGCACCGACCGTCTTCCTGCGTTTAGTGGGACGTTCGGTCTGAGACGACTACTTTGGGTGCTTATAGATGGTTCGTAGCGATACTCGATTCGTGAGAAGCAAGAATCTGGCGAAGACTTGGGAGTTGTCTTGATCACTGGATCCGAACACCTATGCCCAAGGCCATTTGCCGAACCCAAGGCGTCACGACCCGAGTGCTGCCGCCTTAACTACGGCGTCCAAAACCAACAACTGAAGAGCACATCTCCAACGGAAATACCACCACGCATTCTCTCCCTTCCCGTCCGCGCTTTCCCCGAAGCATTAGCTCAATCTGGCCTCCCTCGGGGTATATTCACCCCTCTATTCCTTCGCTTCTGCATCTCTTTCTCGCGCTTAGCCGAGGTCTTTTGGGCATTTGCCGGTACTTGCTGCCTGGTAGCGAGGGTATCGCGCCTAGAGCGAGCGTACTGGGACTGGTGTTTAGATCGGCTTCGTAGGTGGGCGGCAATGGGGGCGGGGCTTTGTTGAAGGGGGGGTTAAGTGGTTGCTCGACGATGAGTCTGTCTGTTGATTCTCTGATTGGGGATTAATGGAGTTAGTTATGGGTAGAGTTGTTGCTATATTGCTAACTACGATGGATGGATACGTACACGATGTCTTGCCTCGGAAAGACTGACTGTTGCTGATCGGGTAGCAGTTGCGATGGGTCCACGGGTCGGAAGTCCACTGGAGGGTAGGTTTCTTGATGTTCCTGCTCCATGAAGGCTGCTGATCTTGGAAGTGGCTGGTGAACGGGTGGACATCGAATGTATGCCGGATGAGATGTCACCGGAGCCGTCTGTATGCTCCGCGTTGGTGGGAATACAGGTGCATGTGGAGCATCCTGGACGTTTCCCTCCTGCATTGGGAATGCGGCAGGCCACGTTGCGGAGTTGGGCCCATGGCCCTGAAGTGTATTTCCATGTGGCTGGAGGTGCTCGTGTTGCTGATGCATATCGACAGGCTCTTGTCCGCTACTTGCCTGGGGCTCGACTTCATCGGTATTGACAGTGACGAAGAGCTGTTGACGAGCCCCCGTTGGAGCTTGAGTCGCTTCTTCTGCGTAGTGGGGTTCAGTCGGATGTGGGTAATTTCCTGGAACGTTTATATCGGGGATATCTGGGTTGTAGGCTGCCTTCTGTTGTCCTTTGTCCAATGGCTTCTGTCCTTGCGGTGGATGGTACTGTTCTACATACTGCTCTGTGTGCGGATCCTGCGGCTGGACCGGGTGTTCATCGAAGGTTGTGACTTCTATCTGAGGTGGAATTGCCTGGTGCGTTGTGTTGGCGTGTGGGTGCACTTGGTTGGGAATTGGCATTCCTGTTTGCATGCGCGCTTGTACCGCTCTTTCAGGCTCTTGGGGGATACCTGGATGACACTTCTGCGCTTGTGCCGGATGTGCTTGGTTGCCATCCCACACGGTTCTGTCCCCGGAAGGACTTATGACCTCCGTACTTTACCCATGGTCATTCGGTTCAGGCCTCGTCCGACTCTCTCCGGCTCCTCGTTTCTCGACCCCTTTGTGTATATTCGAAGGCCTGGGGCTTTCTTCCGTGCGGTAGACATGCAATTGATGGCGAGCGGTTGAAGGCTTTGATTACGCAGGCTTTCGTGGGGTTGCTGCCTTCGACCGTCCGGCCTCATTTCCGGATTTCCGTTCGATGTCAAGTCTGGGAACACCCATATTTGCCACTAAAGGTCCCGGGATTGCGCTAGACTTGTGGGCCAATGCACCACTATCCGCTGGTTTCTTGGCCGGCGACGGGCCTATTGTAGGACCATCAGCTCCCTCACTTTCTTTCCCACGCTCTCCGCCGTCGCTACGGATCTGCAAATTCCCCTCACCGAGCCCACTGAGTGCCACAGAAACCAGGCGGTCTCTTGGAGCTTCTTGATCAACGTCTTTTGTGGCTGGAACATCGTCCGGGCCGGTGCCTAACTCTTGTGTCACTGAGGGGCGTCTGGATCGGCTGCGGGCTTTCGCCTTCGCGCGACGAGGTTTCCGGGTGGAGATATTTGCGCTGCCGGCAGATGCGGATGCATCGTTCCTTGAAGAAGATTGTCTCTTGGAAGTTCTGCAGGGTACAATTGCAAGGACGATGACGAGGATTCCAGTCAGCGCACCGAGAGACGCCCCAAGGCTACCTGAAAAAGACGTTCCTAATGAAGTCTGTATTAGCGGGACTATCCTTGGACCCAGCAGTGTTGGCGATGTGGGCGATGTTGTAGAAGTTGATCCGTCTATTGTTGGTAAAAGGACGAGAAGACCGGCGGAAGGCAGAACAGCTTAGAAGGTACCTAGTCCAGGCGCGCTTCCATGCTCCTCTCGGATACACGCATGGAAATCCGAAGGTAGCGTGGTGAAGCAGATCGCGGCGTCAGAATGGAGCGCTCTAAAAGCGAAAATAAACATGGGCAGAGTCCAGACTGCGCCTGGGACAGTAGCGGCTGCCTCACCCATACATTGCGGCGATTGGGAAAAAGTCTCGGCTGCCTTGGATATCGTAGCATCAATCTGATCCAGCCTTGAGGGCTTCCATCGGAAGATGCAGAATCTAGAAGCCGGTATCACCACCGAATGAGATCAGTGGTGTTAAGTCCGCGCATCCACACCGCTCATCAGCCACCCAGGAAGTATATAAACTTACTCCTTCTCTCCACTTTGTTCTACACACTCAGAACTCCTTTGACGTGTCTAAAAAGGTACAGGAACACTACCAATGGAGACCCGTTTCTAAATTCACAGCCGTCCGTATCGATGTTGTCTCGGTCCTTGGTGTTTTGTGACGATAAAAGCGCGTTTGGATAGGGAACTGGCCTTGAGGAAGGAACCTTTGTTGTTGTAATAAGTTTGAAAGTGCGGCCTAACAAGAAATTGTGGTCGGCGGTTTCGCTAGTCGCACAAAGGAAGCGGATATGGACTCCTGTTGGGGTGTTGAACAGTACGCGCAGATCACACTGGTGTTGTACGAGTGATGGTGATGGTGTGTAATACCGATGATGATTGCGGTGATAGCAGGGGAACTCGTTGACGAATAGGCATATAAATGCTGAGGTTTTCGTTCCCTTGGAATCTTTCTTGCACACTGTTAGAAGATGGAGGGGCTTCTGAATACTTCCACCTTCCTGTCTATGTACCGGTCGCTAAACCTACACCCGATTGGGCGCGATGTGTTCTCCTCGGCCTCGAACTATTGGGAAATAGGTAGTATCCGATACTGCAAAATCTCATAAGATTTGTCAAAGAATATTACATTAGAGATGAACTAGTGATCTATGTACCGCAGGCGGATGGCCAATTTATGTCGACCAAAGAAAGACCTGCAGTTGTTTCCGCTAATCGCACAGTTCAAACAGAGATCAAAATCATCGTTGTCACACTTGCAGCAGTCTAATGGTCGTTAGCTCATTGCTCGGTTCCCGCAAGAAGACTTACGCAAATACAATTCCTCCACTGTATTACCGCAGCGGTCACACATTACTGCTCGGTCTGGCGAAGCAATCCGATCGCAGCTGGAGTTGACGTTGGTAGACCACCAATAGTACAAGTGATGGGTTGCGCTGTTGGGGCAGCGTTTCCCGCTCGCGAAGCAGGACTTGCAAATATCGACATCGGCATCGGTCGGGCATTCTAGGGACCTGTTAATTAGGGGTATCTTTTTTCCCATTTGCGGTTTTTCCTTTTCTTTTCCCGAAGGTACGGCCAGAACGAACTTACTGTAGTGCCCAGTTCCAGTGAGTACTGCGAGACAGCAGTTGCACAGACAGAAACCCTCAGTATCGTCTTCCAATCTGCATCGGACACTACCGCACGCTAGGCCAGTTGACAATGTTGTTATCATCATTTGGCATTTGTTCTGCCAATTCCGTCCTTTCATAGTCAACTCACGAATCTCTGCCTCCTCTTTTAACTTCGCCTTTTTATCCTCCATCTCTGCTTTCTCACGCGCCAAACGTTCCAGCTCCTTGCGAGCATTCTCTTCTTGGCGAACGCGTTCTTCTTCCATGCGTTTGTGTTGTAATTCTAGACGCTGCCGTTCGCGCTCTTGTTCTTGAATTCTCATTTGCTCCTTCGCTTGAAGACGTCGTTTCTCTTCATCTTTCTCTTTTTGAATGGCTTGAAGCCTTTGCGCGTACGCGTCTTCAGCCGCCCTCTTGGCGTGGTCGTTTGCAGCCCGTTCTTTCTTGATGTCGGCATCTGTGACAGTTTTTGCGGCAGAGGTGCACGATTGATTAATTCCACGGTTCACAACTTCGTCTTGGATTTGTAGAGTCGCGCAACGCAATGCTGAAAATTTGAGAAGCAGATTTCGAGCGGTGTTGCACTCTTCGGGAATCCGCAATACCTCAGAACCTTTCTGTACCATGGAGCCCCAGAATCCTGACGTCCTGACTAACTCATCGACTCTTTGTTGGCCGACCACACTGCCGTTTGGCATGCGATTCATCATACTCCAGAAGGTCGTGCCCAGGATCACTTGCTGGTAAAAGTCATTGCCACATAGTTGTCGAAACATTCTGAAGTTGCGCAAAGCGCTGCCCTGCATTCGGGGGTCGGTGATTCGATGTAGATACAAAATCCCATTGAGCTTCTGCCCATTGAGGTACGACTGCGTCAGCCACTCGGTGATGGACTGCAAAATGACTGGATCGGGAACATTTGTATCGTCGAAGCCGGGCGTGTCGATGAGCACGAAATTGATGCCCTGGTATCGGAACTTGTATTCTTTCACTGCTGTGGTAGCTGCGCCGCGGGAAACGCCGGTTAGTAAACTTCTATCCTGGCTTGAGAAGTTGCTTACTTGACTGAAGTCCGTGTCCCACCACAATGCTCTGGTCCCCAGTGACAAGACGCACAAAAGACGATTTGCCGGTGCCTGTTGCACCCATTACTGCAACGATCACATCTTTTGACCGAGACATTCTTTAATTCTTTAAGAACGACCTGTTTCTGTGGACTTCGCCTGGCTGGGAAGGGTGAGAACCCAGAATCTATGCAAGATATGTATCAAGCCACTTTTCGGGCCAAGCAGCCTAGGAAGCCATCGTATCCACCATTTTCCAAGACCGGACTTTTCCAATCCCATGGACTTTATCTGGATTCGGTTGGAGGCTTGTAGTCGCCAATTTTCTCGGCAACGAGCACTCTACGTCTACTGGTCCCAATTGTGAGCTGATTATCCTTGATTGAGAAGAATTTGCCTAGACTTCAGCCTTGCTTCTCTAAAAATAAAACAGGAATTGTTTGCGAACTGGAGTGAACGTGGCGTGTTGTGGCTGTACTTGAAATCAAGCAGAAGTACGTATCAGCTGACGGCCACAAGGCTGAACGTTAGAATGTGTCCCAGTAACATGCAACGGCTAAGCCTCCATACTACACCTTCTACCTAGTAGACGGCGTTGCTATATTTCGGGAAACTCCTCAATTATTCAGTTCAACGTTTGATAAAATCGCGTGGGGACATTCGCCGGGCAATGCTGTTGGACAAGGCATTTCGGGTTCCCTCAGCCTTGTGACCGCATACAATTGGGGTCGACTATACGTACCAAAAGAATGGAAAATGATTGATTTACCGGGTTCTTGCCTATCTTCAGCTGTAAGATTTTAGTCTTTCGACCTTATCAGCAGCTCGCACTAGGGTTGGAGCTGAAGCATACGTGGTCGAGCAGATCGGCGACCATCAGTAGGTTGGTATTTCCCAGCCTTGCTCCTGGTGGATGCATAGTATACGTCCAAAATCACACGATGAGTGCCACATTACGACGCATGGAGGCTTGTGGTGGACAGAGGCTGAGTTCTACGACACATGGACGGCTTGAAGGCTGGGGCCTCAGGCAAGGCTAAGGGAATTACCGCAGAGCCTCATCAGCCCCTCAACACGAATGTGCCAGCCCACCTAGCATTTAAATAAGGTTCGTTTAAGACTATGCTCCGTAGACTCCTAAACTTCGCACCTGAGGAGGCCAACGTCCGAACTTCACAATCGATTCAGAACCACCATCGCGACACCATGTATTCACAACAGAATGGTGATCGGATCCCTGGATCATACCCTCGCACGCAAGATCTTTCCCCACCGCAGACCCGGAGGTCAGCGTCATCAAAGTCGGTGCAGAAAACATCACACAGGGCAGCTGAGTATGTTCTTTCTCTCTAGCACAGTCGTAGGACCATACTGAATCCCAATAGAAAAATCGAAGACATCTACATTGCGGTCATGGGAGTCACCGGGGCCGGGAAGTCGTCATTTATAGAACTTTGCACCGGACAGAAGCTCGGAATCGGCGAAGGGCTTCGCTCACGTGAGTATCTCGCTCTGAATCAAACCACGAGCTAAGGTCGTGTAGACACTCAAGAAGTGGGAGAGTTCGCATTCATGTTCAAACCGAACTTGAGGGTGCATCTGGTGGACACACCAGGGTTTGACGACACCGATCG